AGAAGTGATGACGCAGCAGCCCTGCAAGGCAGCCATCTGCCAGGCCTCCACTGGGCAGGGACAGGCACAGAAGAAGCAGAGTGATGAGGTAGAACTCAGGCTCAGAAAGCTGACTCTCTGGTTCTAAATTCTCCATTTTTCCTCCCCAGTCATCTATGTGACCTGACCAGCAGCTAGGTCCTCCCTGGACCTTGGACTCTTTTCTGCAAACTGCAGAAAGCCACAGAAGACCTTGTTCACACTCTGGTGCTAGGCTGCCTGTTCAATCCTGTGATGGGATTTGGAGTTATCCTTCCCTGCTTCCCTGCTTCCTGGTGGAGGATATACAATCACCCTATTCTGACTTAAAGTGCTTGCTTGCACTCTCTTTCTCCCGCCCTCCCTCCCTCCCCTGTCCTATGCAGGCTTGCCTCATGCCCTCTTTGCTTCCTAGGGCAGCACTTTGTCATTGTGGGCACTCTGGACAGGACAGAAGCTGCTCTTCTTGCCCTGACCTGGCCTGTACTGCCACTGTCCTTTTGTACCTTTGTGACATAGTGGTGTGAGAAGTATTGGGCCCACCTCTGCTTCCTTCCCCTTCCACAAGTCCTAGCTGAAGGACTAAAAACACCCATCCCAGCAGGAGCCTTGGAAGCTGCTGGCCAGAAGTGCAGCCCCACCAGGCTCTGCCTAGCATTCTCCCAGGGTGAGGTTCTCATCAAATGTCCAGAGCATCAGGAGGAGCCCAGAGTCAGGCCTTGGCAGGGGCTTCCCACTGTTGCTCTATAGGGACCTGTTCCCAGCTTCCCACTCAGCACTATGGCCTTTCACAAGCGAGACTCCTGGTTAGAAGGTGCTGTGGTTAGAGCATAAGTCCTGCCTCCTAGAGGGTCATGTGTAAAGACTTGGTCCCCAGGGTGATACTGTTGGGAAGTCACTGGGAGCATGCCCTTGGAGGGGTTTGTGAAACCTGTCTCCTGCTTCATGGCTTCTGATGGAAGTGTTTTGCTTCACCATTTGCCCCCAACATGGGAGGTCATCCCCAACTTAGGCCCAAAGCCAGGGAGCCTCCAGGTTTGTACTGGAGCCTCCAGAACCATGAGCCAAAGAAACCTTTTGTTACTGCTTCAAGTGTTTCATTATAGTAGCAAAGCAAAGAGGGCAGCTGTGTACTTTGTGTTCTGGCCTGCTGTTCAGGCTGTCATGGAACTGTGTGCTCTGGAGTCTTCCTAAGATGACTGACCTCCCCAGGGGAGTCAGGAGAGACAGAGCAGGACAGCCTGGGTTAGCCTGTTTGATGTAGGGGTAAGTTTAAGTGTAGATGTCTGTTGTCTGTCAAACAGAGCATTTACAGCATGAAGGAACCTGCCTGTGGGTGAGCAAAGTACCAGAATTGAGGACAATAATACCTGTAGGCCTGTCCATGTGCTTTTTTATTCTTTTTCCATTTTTCCTGTGTATGTAGCAGGGAGGCATGTTTTTTCATGTGTGGGCATGCATATGTGTGCACGTGCATGTAGAGGCCCAAGGTTGATGTTGGGACTTGTCCTCAATGGCTCTTCTATCATATTCATTTAGGTGGGGTCTGTCAAACCTAGAGCTTGCTGATATGGCTAGTCTGGCTCTAAGGCTCTCATTTCCACCTTGTGAGCCTGGCCATCACACCCACCTGGCATTTCCATGCATTTTGGAGAATCCAAATTCAAGTCCTCACACTTAGATAGCACACACTGTAACCACTGAGCCATTTCCCCAGCCTCTGTACATGAAGCCTTTGAACATGAAGAGCAAGGTCCCTTCTCACGGTGACATCCAACCATGGAGATGGAACAGCTCAAGCCCTCAGAGTTTGAGGTACTTGAGAGTAGCAGACAAGATCTAATGTGAGAGACAAGAGTCTAGCAAAAGTGCAGCCACAGTGACAGTACTCTGAAAGAAATAGGACCTGCTCTTAGAAGAGATTGGCAGGCAGAGAAGGCACATCAGACCCAGGCTTCCTCAGGACGCAAAGTGGACAAGAGTCCTCAATGGCCAGAAGTCAGCACAACTGATATGTAAGGTCCACATCAGAAGACAAGCCCAGAAGCTGAGGTGTCCCTAGCGAAGGACGCTGAAACTGAGGCTAGAGGTTTTGTGCTCAGCAGCAGAAGCCGGACTTCACAGTAGATCCAACTGGAAGCCATAGAAGGAGAGGGGCCAGGTTGGGTCTGCCTTTTAGATTTGTCAGAGTTGGTGTGAGAGGGCCTGGAAAGAGGGCTTAGCTTTTTGAGTTCATGCTGCTTTTACAGAGGACCCAAGTTTGGTTCCCATTACCTTCATTGGGTATCTTACAACCATCTGAGGTCCCCAGCCTCCGTGGGCTCCTGTACTAAGACATAGACACATACACACAATTAAAAATAATAAAAATAGCTGGGCGTTGGTGGCTCACGCCTTTAATCTCAGCACTCGGGGGGCAGAGGCAGGCAGATCTCTGTGAGTTCAAGACCAGCCTGTTCTCCAGAGCGAGTGCCAGGATAGGCTCCAAAGCTACACAGAGAAACCCTGTCTCGAAAAAACAAATAATAAATAATAATAAAAATATTTTTAATATAAATAATTTTCTTTTAAATAAGCAAGGAGTCGGACTGAGGGGTGTCTTGGTACTGACCCAAGAGGACATGGCTGGCTTTTTCCCCAGGGCAGTGGTAGCCCACAGATGATGCTGAGGGGGGAGATGCTTGGAGGCAAAGTCCTGAGCCTCTGGCTGGACCAGGATTAAGGGCTGGGGACCATGAAACTGAGTGGGCTGCATAATGGAGTTTACTACCACAGAAAGGAAAATCTGCAGGGAACCAAGAGTCTCATTGTAGTCCTGTGACGCTCAGAACGCCTGGGAGACATCCGCAGGGATTGTCCCCTCTAAGAGTCCCTTCAATGAGGCCCAGGGCAGCAGGGGCACATATGGAAGTTAGTGACTCTAGGCCACTTTGAAAATATTCATGGGACTCGAACCCACTGGGAGACAAAGACTAGAGAGGAGGGGGTATGGCACAGTCGGGTGAGGTAGAGGGGAACCAGTGGCAAAGAGAAGAGTATTTCCAGAAAACTCTACCACCTGACCTATAGCACCATCCGTCAGCATTCCCTAGGTTCTCTGGCACAGCAGGAGGCCATCGTACCTTCTTGCTTCTTCTCAGCCTTGCCTGTCCCTCCAAACCATCCCTAACCCTCCAGCTGCTACAGGTCCCAGCCTGGCTGGCCTGGGGTCCTTGGAAAGTACTGCCTGGCAGCCGTTCAGCTGCTGGCCTCTGTCATGGAGACGGCAGCAGCTGCAGGCAATGGACACTTGTGACCATTTGTCAGTACTCTTCTCTTCCCCAGACTGCCCTTTTTGAACATTTCTGTCCCACGGCCTTGGAGACAGGGCTCATCCCTGAGTGGACGGGGGCAGTAAACATTGTCTGACTTCTACAGAAGAGCTGCCACCTGCCTCCTGACTGTCATCTGTACTGTGGAGGCTTTTGTCCCTGGGTGCCATTCACCAAACACTGGGCTCCTCACATGAGATGTCCCTCCTGCCTTCTGGTCACTCCCCCATTTCAGACAGGTGTTGCCCTCAGTTAAAAGATTAAGAAATTACTGTACAGAGATACTGGGATCACCTGGCTGGGTTTGAGGCCACAAGGCTCCAAAGCCTTTGCCCACCCACATAGGAGTGGCTTTTACCACCTGGGTCAGTGTGCAGTGGAGATTCAACAACTCCCTGTTCATGGGTCCTCCCTCCTCTCCTCCAAGCCCCAACCCACCCCACCATGCCCAAGCCTCCTGGTTCCATTGGATCTAGGCTAGAGGTATTTGTGCTTTGTAGTTTGGCCTCCATTGCCAAATCAAATACTCTGGGTTTTTGGCTTGGTCTGGAAATATGGCAGAATCATTTCAAGCCTAGTTACAAAGCCATGACTTGTGTTCATAGAAAAGAAAGAAGTCCAGCCCTGATCAAGTTCCATACAAGTCCAGTGCCTGAGAGGAGGTAGCCTTGTTTCAGGCTTGTTGCCTCAAAATGGGATTCGTGTTGTTCAATGCACAATACCTGAAGCCTCTGCCCCTTGTCTAGTCAGTGGTGCTGCTTCCCTGGGGTAGGGACAGGCAGGCAGGCAGAGGGCATCAGCCCCAGGCCAGAGGCCGTGGATCAAGGTCCCTTGAACCACTCATCCCTATCCAACAGGAAGCATGTACACTCACCGCTCACTAGCCCCTTGCCCACTCCTGCCCCACCAGCAGGCCCCCCAACCAGTCTGACCTCAAGATGTGCTTGTCTGCTAGTTCACCTTGCCCCAGGGACCCTGTGAAACCCACTTTTCTTCATTTTCTAGGTTCCTCTTAGGTAACAGAGCCTCTTTCTTAGAACCCAGTCCTCACCCCAAGGCTCTTACCAAAAAGAAATACATGGGGGCCAATGGAGCCAGGCACTGCTATGATCCACTTGCTTCATCTCCCTATGCCATTGGGTTGACATAGGGTCTATTCAGTCCACAAATGCTGCTTGGCCCAGTGACCTTCAGGAATCCCTCTAGCTAAGGCCATAACTGAACAGCACAGACACTCTGACCCCAAGGAGCTTTCATGACTTGGGTGTGGAGATATTCTCAAATGAAGATGAAGTCTAGAGAGAAGTAAGGTCCAAGAGGGGCAGGAACACCTTGGCATGGGAGGGGGGAGGTATTGTTGATATATGTGGGAGACATATATGATATATAGATTTGTTGATGTATGTGAAATCCTAGAAGGGTATCTTGGTGCATTCCCTCATAGCCAGAGGCCTAGGGAGGAGGGACACAAATAGAGCTTATGAGCCGTGGTTTCTGAATCAAGGTAGGTGATGACGGGAAGTAAAGAGCGGGCACTCAGTGTGTTCTGTGATCCCATTTTCACACACACACCTGCATTGAGCCCCACCCCCTCCAGCCCTAGGAAAGAGCAGATTCCTCTAGGGCCCTGAAAAGCCTCCGTAGTGTGACCTTTTCTGGCTTGTTTTCCAGGCAGCTCTGCCTCCTGCTGAACGCAGAGAACATCTTCCACTCTATGGCAGACATCTTGCTTCGGGAGGAGGACCTCAAGTTCGCGTCCACTATGGTGCACACACTCAACACTATCCTGCTCACCTCCACTGAACTCTTCCAGCTGAGAAACCAGCTCAAGGACCTGAAGACTCTGGTACTCTCTCTGCCCCCAGTGTTAGGTCTGTGGGTGCACAGGCACTCAGCTCCCTCCTCAGCTGATCCCAGGAGGCTCACAGGGGGTGGGTAAACTGGGAGTCTTCCCTGCCCAAGGCCAGGTCCACAAGCTCTTCCCAGTTCCTGCCCCACCTTTCACTGTCCCTTTGGAAATAGGCTCTGCTGGCTCTGGGATACTTCACTCAGCGAAGTCCCTTCTCGTGGTCAAAATTGAAATACTGCTGGGAAAAAACAGGTCAATTGCTCTCCTTGTGTTCCTCCTTGCTCTGGCCCCACTCCCACAGCTGGACACATCTGTCTCCTAAAATGCCTGTCATCACCCATAGTATCTCATTGTTTCCTGTCCCAGGCTTTGGGTAAGGATGCCCAAAGGTCGACCAGGAAGATCAGAGAGACACTGCAGGCCTAGGAGACATGCAACTCACAGGCCCACGTGATGTGGCCAAGACATTGGGCTTCCCTCAGCTTACAGGGACCAGTGCCATCATGGATGCATGAGTGCCAAGGATTTATTTCCCAATCTGGGTTTGGGTCACTTTCCCTCTACCCCCTGCCCAGCATGACCCTACCGCAATCCCTCCCTGGGAGACTCAAGGACATTTAAGCCCTTGTCTGTGAAGACCTCTGATGCTAAGTTAAGTGGCTTGGAGTGATCCAGGCCACAGCCTTGCCTTCCTTCTGTGGTTCTTTGCAGATATTCTCAGAGGCCTTAAGAATTTTTTTCAGGCTCAGGGCTCCCTGAGTGTGGGCTCAGCTGCAGGACTGGTTTCCTGGTACATTGAGAGCATCAAGGGGGCTACCAAAGTAGGGGATGGTGGGATTTGAGGATAGACTGAGGAGCCTGGCCCCTGAGGAAATTTCTTCCCAGCCCCAGGCTCTGGGACCACAGAGTTCTGAAAGACAATTACTGTCATTTTGCCAGAGGCAGAAATGCCAGCTTACAAAGGGTAGGCTCACTTTTGACTAGGCCCTTGCTGCCCCTACCACGTGGCTCTGTGAGGCCAGGAGGTAATGACAGGGTCTGAGGAGCTGTCAGCATTTCCTTTGTGACAGCCCATTCCCAGCAGGGTTGCCAAACACAGCCCAGTGCTGAGCTGGCACCCCAGCTCCCCCCAAGAGTTCCATGTCACAGCCCCTCAAGGTCCTTCCTTCTGTAGGTCCTATGTGGACGCCGTGACAGCAGGGAGCCTTCTAACTGCTGTGCCTCTCCCCCAGGAAAGCCAGAACCTCTTCTGCTGCCTGTATCGCTCCTGGTGCCACAACCCAGTCACCACCGTGTCACTCTGTTTCCTCACCCAGAACTACCGACACGCCTATGACCTCATCCAGAAGTTGTATCCTTCATTGTCATTCAGTCCTCCAGTGAGGGCCAGGAGTGGCCCTGCTGCCATCTTCCTGTACTCATCTTCCAGTGCTTGGGACATTACCAAGGCCTTGCACCAGGAGTCTTCCGGATATGTTCAGGAAGGGGTTGTTATCAGTAAAGAAGGGCCCCTTTAGAGCCTCCCAAAGGGGAGGTAGGCCTGGGAAAACTCAGGCTGAGTAAGAGAAGAGACCAGTACTCAGTTCCCTATATCTCCTACTAGGCCCTTTTCTTTTCTTTTTCTTTTGTTGTTGGTGGTGGTGGTGGTTTTTCGAGACAGGGTTTCTCGGTGGGTTTGGAAGCTGTCCTGGAACTAGCTCTTGTAGACCAGACTGGGCTCAGACTCACAGAGATCCGCGTGCCTCTGCCTCCCAAGTGCTGGGATTAAAGGCATGCGCCACCACTGCCCGTCCTGCAAGCCCCTTCTATGGATAGAAAAGGCCTTGTTACAAGAACATACTGGGCAGGCCTGCAAAGCTGGCTCACATGGTGAAACTTTGGAAGCTTCAAGAAGGGCCAGGAGCCCACCACACATACACAGGACTTACCTGCCTCACCAGAAGGCAGCCATAGTCAGAATTGTTTTCAATCTACCACTAAGAAGCTAAACACCCTTAATCTTTGAGCCTGACTTACAACCTAGGATCAGAACAATATTCAGGCAATAAGGCTCACTTCCTGCTGTGATGGCCCAGAGCTGGGAGCCATGAAGGCTTCGGTGAAGGGTGTAGGGTGTTTTTGTCTGGTACCCTTCCAAAGCCTAAGCTTGTCCTTCTCAGCCACTTGTGTGACCCAGAGACCAAAAGACCCAGTTCCCAAGCTTCCCTCACCTGCTAATGAGTTGTCCTCTCAGGCAAAAACCAGGAGCCTCTCCTGCTCAGCCCTCCTGCCGAGCTACAGGGCCACAGTAAAGTGTCTTCCTGGGCCCAGGAAGGCAAAGGACAGCTATAGGAGCAGAATCCAAGCATCCAAGCAAAAGGGACAGCTGGGCCACATCCCACCTATAAGGACAGAAAGGAGAGAGCTTGGATGTTTATTCCTTGTGTGCTAAATCCCACTTCCATAGAGCCAGGCTGTGCACTGGAAACCAGGTCTCCGGGAGGGACACAGAATTCTGAGCCCAGGCCCTAGGGTCTATCCTTTGCCACCCCTTGGGCCAAGATACCTTCACTGGGGAGACTTTCCTTGACTGCTCACCCAGTGGGGACCTGGAAGTCACCGTGGACTTCCTCACAGAGGTGGACAAATTGGTGCAGCTGATTGAGTGTCCCATCTTTACATGTAAGAGTCCTTGTCCAGACCCCTGCCTTGAATAGACCTGCCATGGCCTTCAGCTGGCCTAGAGGGAGAAGGAGAGGTTTGGAGCCAAGTTCAGATACCATCTTGCCTGAACTTAGAGAGGGAAAAGGGGGCAAGAATGTGATATTAAGAGATGACAGTAGTTGGCGATAAGACGCCAACTGGAGTGGGGTAGGGTGCATGGCATCAGAACTTAATTTTGTCTGTTTCCTCAGAATGGGTCACATGCATACAGGTCAGTGCTAACATGAAACCCTTTAAAATATTAAAACCAGACCCTGCCTTGGGGCTGTCCCTAGCTGCTCCTCCCCAGCCTACTGCCTCTTCCCTGACTCTCTGGGGTTCTAGGCACTCCTTACACATATTCCTGCTCATCCAAGAGCTGTGCTGTCTCCTCTCCTAAAGGAGAGATAGCATTTGCCGGGAGCCAATGGGCGGGAGCTGCCTGATGAGTAACACCCAGGCTGAATGTGCAGAAGCAGCACTGGCTGGGCTAGCACAGATCTTGGCACCCCCACATATGCAGCGCCTGCTCCCCAAAGCAGGAAACACTTCAAATAATGTGGTAGAGAAGCCGGAGGCAGCCCTGGCTTGTAACCACCTTCTAGCCTCGGTGGCCACCCGGCCTCTAGCTCCTTGGCAGCAGGGGGCTCAAGGATCCTCCTCCTCCACAGTTCCCTCACAGCTAAAGGACCAGCTGCTCCAAGTGGCAGGTGCTGCAGTGACTCAGGTCCTGGAGAAACCCTCATCTCAACCTGTCCAAAGCATGTGCTGCCTAGCATCTCACCTCCTGAGGGCCCCACAGGGTAGAGGGGACCCCCCCCCAAAGGCAAGTCAAGAGGAAGTCCTGAGCAGCTCATCCTCAAGAATAAGATGGGGAAAGTGCTGAGAGCAAAGATGCAAGGCAAGCCTAGTTTCCTAGGCCCAAAGGGAAGAAAGAAGTGGAAGTAGGTTCAGGCCTCTCCAGAGCTATGTGCATGGTAAAAAGTTTTCATATGCACCCACCTTGCAGATCAACTCTTCTGTAACCCTAACAGGTGTTCCTCCATGCTCCCCCATCTAGCTGAGCATCCTCCAATGCAGTTCAGTCCTCTTACAGTCTACCTGTAGCTAGCACCCAGTCTCATGGCCCTGGGCTTCTTACTATCCAGCTATAAACCAGGGCTCACACAAGCCCTTGGGATTGATTAGTTTGCTTGAGTGGCTCACAGAACTCTGGGAAGCACACTTACTGTTTCTCATAAAGGATACTACAGTGGAATTGGAGAAAGAGGAGGGCATACCTTTCCTAACCCAAGCCTGAGTTCTTATGGGAGCTTCATTATTTAAGCATGGTTGATTTACTTTGGCCATTGGAGATCAGCTCAACCTTCAATGCATCAGCAAGCAAAACTTTTTGTTTCAGAGACTGAGGACTGTAGGAGTTCTGTGCTGGAAAACTTGGATGAATATCAGATATGTATATTAGCATATCATAGGTGCCTATGACTTCTGCCTCTTTGGATAAGAGGAGGGACTAAAAGAGGCCACCTAGTCCTCTGCTACCTGCTCCCACATGCTCCCAAGCTCCTTGTCTAACTCCTGCTGGAAAGCAAGGCCACTCTCCAAGACTCGGGACCATTCTCTGGAAGGTGTAGCTCAATTGTCTACACATAATGTCTGCCAAGGTCTAAGAAGCAGGAGGAGCAGTGTCAGTACAAGGCCCAGGAGGGAAGGGAAAGCATCTCTCCAGTCCGGTGTCACCAGCAGGCCTTGGATAAGCTGCAGCCACCTTGAGATGCAGCTGGCCACTAGCAGGTCCAAACCCCTAGGGTTGATATAGATGCTGGGCAGAAAGCCTTTGGAGGGGTGGGGCGATAGATGGCTATGCCTAAGTTGAATATTCAAATCACCTCCTAGACATTCAGGGCTTTAGTGTGTGCCTCACTACACAAAAAGGCATTTTCCCATCCTGCCCTCCCTTAGCAAAGCCTAATCCACTCTTTCTCTCCAGCTCACCCTATTTATAGCTCACGTGCTGGCACGTGCAGAGCCAACTGGGGAATCTGTTATTCTGTAAGTCCCCACCCCCCAGCCCTCATTACCAAGGAAGCAGCTGAACCTAGGGGAGGTGGACCTAACCCAGCTGCAGGTTTGGGGATCTTAGGCTGAGGGGGCTGTTAGATAGGTCAGTCAAATGGGTGGGTAGGGAAAAATTAGGTCACAGAAATGGCTTCAGTTCTCTGAGAGAAGGGTCCCAGGCCTGGGTGGCTGTGGAGTAGACACTGCTTCATGGTAAGGCAGATACGCCTAGCAGTGCTAGGTCCAGGATGTTTCCAGTCCTCTCCCAGACAGGCTAAGGCAGGGGCTCCTATATTCCAGAGCAGGGCCAGGATCCCTGACTCCTGACCTCTGCCCTGCTACAGATCTACGCCTACAACTGCTGGATGTGAAGAACAACCCATACCTGATCAAGGCCCTGTATGGCCTGCTTATGCTGCTGCCCCAGAGCAGTGCCTTCCAGCTGCTCTCTCACCGGCTCCAGTGTGTGCCCAACCCGGAGCTGCTGCAGACTGAGTGAGTGCTGGGCCCAGGGCACTGCCTTCTGCCTCCAGGCCTATGCCATGGGAGATCCTAGGGGCTTGTGGAGGTGCCCTATTCCTAACTTTACCCCTTTGTCATTTCAACCCTGTCTACCCCACAACTACCTTTCTTTTGTCTCTAAATCCACAACAGATCTCAACATAGGAGGTTCTGGGAGTGTTTAAGGGGCAGAAATATATATGCTTTTCTGAGCAGCTTGGGGGAACTCAGACTAGGCTTCAGTTGAGATCTTTGCCTAGCAGAGGCCCCTGGAGAAAGGAGCTCCAGGGATGGAGAGTGAGGGGTCCAGAGAGCCAGGCAGAGCCAAGTCTTAGGCACCTCCCAGGCTTACATGCCTTGCCATTCCATTCTAGAAGATGTTCAAATCTGGCCCTCTGAGAGCCCCAGCATCCCTAGGGTCTTCCCACCACAATTCCAGAGGAATTGGAGACAAGAATATACCTGAGCTACTCTGCCAGGGAGGGTCCTATTCTCAGGAAGAACATGTCTGACTGGCCCAGCCTGGCATTCTCTGGGCAGGGGGGTCCAAGCTCCCACCCTGAACCCTCTGCTGGCCATGGCCCCACAGCCTTTTGGGCTGTGTCTATATTTGGTAACCCTTAGAGGCTTTGCCTCATCCACAGGCATTTGGCATCGGAGATGGAAAATTTCACTTGTCAGGTCACCATGGAAACAAGCAGAGCCACTGAGAAGATTTACGCTGAATGGAGTGCACCCAGCTTGCATCAGCTGCCCTGTGTGTCTAGAATTCCCTCCTAGGCCATTGGAGCCACTCGGCAGGCCTGGCGCCTTGCTGCAGTGAAACCCTGAGGCGCTTGCCCTGAGGGTAGATGCAGACAGCCTCAGGATAGGCCTGTGCCCATTCTACCCTTTCCTGCCACTTTTCCAGCCAGCCTTGTACTGACTGTGTCATGTCAGCTCTGAGTTTCAACCAAGTGAAGTCTGGAATACTTGGTGTGTTGAGTATGCCTAAGATGCAGAGAAGCCACTGCAGGCTTGGGCTGGTCTGGATTCTTCCCAAATGAGCATCTTCTGCTTCTGAGAGGAGAGAGGCCTTGAAGTGACAATATGCTCCTTGGCCTGTCCTCTGTAGGCACTGCTGAGAGGACAGTCCTCTGTAGGCACTGCTGAAGGGAGAAGGCAGCAAAAAGGGCACTGCCCTGGGAAAGGTCTCAGACCAGGCCACAAACCCTACCACTTCCCAGAGCCCCTTTCTTGTCTGGAGAAGGGCAGGAAAGCTGTCTAAGTCAAGGCAAGATAAATCCCCAGAGAGAAACTAGGTAAAAGGGTTTCCTCAGCCTCTGTATGGTCCATCAAGATAATTTTGAGCCCAAGGAATAAGCCCTTGTGTAAATGACTCTTATGTGGGTCAGTAAATGGTTTCAGACCTGGAATGGGATCTGGCCCAAGTTCTCCATAGCTTTGCTGTGTGGCCTCAGGCAAGTTCCTTACCCTCTCTAGGCTCCCAGTTTCTTGGTAACTGCACATGTGGACTAAATGGGCAGGAAGTGTTGGGGTGTTCTCAGCCTGCCTGCCTTTGGGAAGAGCTGAAAAAGTTGAATGTAGATACAGGCATGGAAACAGTGGGTGGCAAGGGACCTCAGACAGCTGGAGGAGGAGTCAGATTGCAGGGTTGAGTGCAGAGGGGCAGTTCACACTCTGGAAAGGGGCTGTGGGCAGTCCCAACCTAGGGTGGGGCAGGCAGCTGCCAGACAGCCGGCCTGCAAGCAGAACAGCTGGGGAGGTTTATGCACTCGCCACCATACCTTCCTGTGTTCTCACTAGCATTTGGGGACCATAGGCACTCTCCCGCTTTAAAATCTTCCTCAGTGAGGCAAGAGGATTCCCTAAAAAGAGAAGCTGGTGGCAGATATGTGGGTGGGATGGTAGGGCAGCATGTCAGCTCTGGACTGGGGAACCACCACTCCACCCTGCCAGCCAGGTGTCCCTGTTACCCAGTACCTGAGGATTATGGGAAAGAAAGCATGGCATTGTGATGGGTAGGGTGATGCTTATAATCCAAGCACTAGAGAGGTAAAGGCAGGAGAATCAGGAGTTCAAAGGTGTCCTTGACTATAAAGGCCAGCCTGAGGTACATGAGATGCTATCTCAAGCAAGCAGCAAGGCTCGTAGTCATGGCTGGGAAGGATCCCCCTAGCATGGGGCAGAACAGCTCACTACTCTGAGGTCCCAGAGAGCAAGGTATAGCTGCTTCCCCGGCCCCCACCCTGGGTATTTTTTTGTTCTAGTTTTCTATTGCTATTACAAAACACTGACCAAAGGCAACTTGGGAAGAAATGGGTTTATTTCATCTTACACTTCCAGGTAACAGTCCATCACTGAGAAGTCAGGGCAAGAACTGAAGCAGGGACCATGGAGAAAAGTAGCCTACTGGTTTGCTCTGCATAGCTTCTTCAGCTTGCTTGCTTATACAACTCAGGACCACCTACCTGCACAGGGGTGGTACCACCCACATCAGTCATTAATCAAGAAATGCCCTACATACCTGCCTGTCTGATGAAGGCAATTCCTCAGTTGAAGTTCCCTCTTCCAAAGTAACTCTAGTTTGTGTCAAGCTGACAAACTAACAACACCCCCCAAACCCTCTAATTAGTCCCTGCCTAGGTTTTCTAAGGGTGGTGTTAAGACAGCGTGTAGACTCATGGGCATCCCCCAGTGTCATTTCTGTGGCTTTGAATCTTTCCCCCGGACTTAGAGCTACAAGCTCCAAGTCCCTCTGCCCCCTTAGGAGTCTGGGTTGTTCCCTCCATGATAGCTCCTGGGCCAGAGAGTCCCCTTCTCCCATTCCCAGGGGAGTCAACAAGCATTAGAAACCCCCAAATGACAACCAGGCCACTTTGACTCTTTAGTCAACAGTGGCTTGGGAGGCAGTGGCTCAAGGCCCAGGAAAATTTCGGCCACAGATAGATCATAAGATGTTTTCAGGCAGTGTGTCCTGCTTGAAAGAGGAAAGAGCAGTGTTGGCCACCATGTGGGCAGTAGACTCAAGTCCCCAAAGTTGAATCTGGGAGCATTTGTGCCCTGAAGCTGGGCAGGCCACAACACCTTCTGGCTTCAGCCATTGGTTTCTCTAGCCCACCCAGCCTCACTGGGGAAGCTGCCATTGTGGGATCTCTGTTGTGCCTCCCTAGTCTAGTTTAGACAGCAGCCAGATGTCCGTACACCAGGCAAATCTATTTCGTGTAATATCAGGAGGGAACCTTATACCCACGCCATGGCATGGCTCCTGTGGCAGCCTCCTTTACAGAATAAGAAACGGAGTCAAATGCCCAAGGTCACATGTCTAGGCCAGGCCTGCCTAGCTCCTTTCCTTGGCTGCTGTCAGCACCAGCCATACTGGGACCTCTTCTGGCTGAAGCCAGAAGGTGTTGTGGCCTGCCCAGCTTCAGGGCACAAATGCTCCCAGATTCAAAAGTCCCAGGAAGTCTGCTTAACTGAGTGGCCCACAGTCTTCATGAAACCCTTTGCCAGGGCTTCCAAGCCAGTGAGGGAGGGGGCACAAGGGGTGCATATGGCTGTGCTGGAGAGACAGGAATGGGACAGGAACCTATGAGGCAACAAGGTTGGTACATCAAACAGTTGGGAGGACCATGTGTACAGTAGATACGAAGTGCACAACCTATGCTGCTATACAGAGCAACAAAGGAGAATGGTAGCATCAGGAGTGTAGGTCCAGTGGTGAGCTAAGTTCTTTTCTAGGGACAGTAGTGATCACGGGCCTTGGGACCCAGTGCCCTGCCAAATTGCAGGTTCAGCAGAGACTTCAGTGATCCCAGCTATCCACAGCACCAGCCATGCCACTGAGAAAGGGCTTGGCTGCTGCCTCCCCCTTCTCCCCAGACCCTGTTCCAGGCCCCAGCTGGCTTCCTGGCTGGCTGCTAGCCCTGGCTCTCACCCCAAAGGGAGCCACTGGTAAACAGGAAATGCTTCCCCATGCAGTGCCTGCTCTGGACGCCATCAACAGCCCACAGGCTGAGAGATATCCAAGCAGTGTGTTGCTGTTCCCAGCAGCTGCAGGGAAGGGGTAGACATGGGACCCCAGACACTGGGTCTGACTGCTGGGAAGGTGTTGCTGGACAGGAACACGCACATGCGCAGACGCTGATTTTGACTCCTGCCCATCTTCTCAGAGACAGTCTGAAAGCTGCCCCCAAGTCCCAGAAAGGTGACTCCCCCAGCATTGACTACACAGAGCTACTGCAGCACTTCGAGAAAGTCCAGAAACAGCACCTGGAAGTAAGACACCAGCGCAGTGGGCGTGGCGATCACCTGGACCGCAGAGTTGTCCTCTGATGTGCCTGTCGTGAAAAGGGCCCAGGTGGCCCATGAAGCACCCAGGGTCTCCAGCCTGAGGCCACAAGATGCCTGAGAACCTGCCTCAGGCAGGGCTGGACCTGACCACCAGCCCAGTATAGGGAGGGACCGTCTGCTCTGTCAACTCTAGCTCCTCCCAGTGGAGTGCCTGGACCCGAGCACTGTCAGCTACACCTGGCTTGGGACCAAGGGCTTCCCTCCTGAGTCAGGCCATAGCCTCAGAACCCAGAAGGAACCTTCTTTCTAGTCCCCCTGTGAGAAGAGCTTGTCCTTGGCCCCCAAAGCACTGGCATGGTGTGTATGTATGTGTAGATCTTCGTGGATAATGCACACGGGCCAGCACAAAGACCTCTACAGAATGATGTCCATCCCTGCCCCAATAAAGAAATGACAGAATCCTGAGCCAAGCCTGCCTGCTCCTTCTCTGCTGACACCTATGCCTAGCCTGATGCTCTGGCTGTCCTGGAAAGCTGGCTTCATGGTGGGCCCTGCTCATTTACCTGAAGGGGATGTGGGTTCAGGGCTCAACGATTCCCAGGACCAGCACCTTCCTCTTGGCTTTATTCCCATTCCTTAACCCTGGTTCCTGATTCCCTGCAATGTGGTGTCCCCACAGGCAGGGATGGCACAGCAGGGCACTACAGATCACTGAGTAGTGGGAGGAAAGTAGTCAGAGATGGATGCCCTCTTTAAGTTCAAAGAACCTCTGTACCTGTCACCAGACTTTGGCCTTTCTTGGCTTGGCCTTCTGATGAACCCCTGATTGCCTACTGTGTCCCTTTAGTCGGCGGGAGTTTGTGCCTTTTTTCCCTAGAGCCCTAAAACTGTGTTCCCCTTGAGAGTAGGTTCACCTGGAGTCTCCAGGACGACAGCACTATTTGCCGTCGACCACGTGCACATGCGTGCATCCCCACACACTACACTGCAGGTCCAACGCAGACCCCCGACTCACGAGAATGTTGGGCCAGGACACCATAACTATTTCCACTCCCCAATCCAGGTGGCATCAGCATCAGTTAGAAAAGGAACGGAAGGACATTTGTACAAGAGGGTTGGACTTTATGGATAGTCTGTGGTGTGGACAGCTCCAGTGCAGCGAGCTCCCGGTTCCCTCTGCGCGCCTGCTCCCTGTTAACCATCGGTCAGGCGGATGCGCTAAGGACCGCATCTGTGACGGGGCTCATCTTTAGCGAGCCCATGGCCTGGAAGGTGG